TTTTAGTTTTCTAGCTGTCTATGTAAAAGAATAAGCAAGAATTTGAGGCATTAGGGCAGCGGAACAAAACCAAAACAACGACACACCTTTTGGAATGGTTCTGCAACTTTTGGTCACACTGAGTCACGACAGCACTCACAAGCGAAACCAGCGGAGCTCGTCAGCAAGGACTCAGCCAAAATGAAGAAATTTTCTCTAAGTCCTGAGGCTGCTCGTATGTGCGTCGTTTCAAGTTTTAGGGCATCAGTGGAAATAATACAAGCCAGGAAAATATATAAATTAGCTACTAAACATTCTATTATTACTATGTATGAAAGTATTTGGTATATAATATGACAAATTTTGAGAATTTTGAGATATACTTGAGCTTGATGATGAAAAAGGAGAAAATAGAATACTACCAGGCGGGAATGGAGGGTAACTCATGTGGGGATGTGGTAGATACATATTGGGTTGATACGGCATTAGAATGGACCCAGGGGGGGCATGGTGCTGTGAATTTGGCACCTCAGATGGCGAGCCAGCAGGCATGGACATGTTGCTTCCAGATGGGAGCGAAAAGGATGTGGGGGCTGGATGAGGGGCGGCAACCTAGGATATATTAGAAAGAGGCTTTAAAAAAATAATAAAACATCACCTGTCTTTGAGCTCGAGCTCCAAATAAACCCGCAAAGCGGGGATTTGTTTCGAGATCTGGATGGGCTTCAAAATGGTCCTTGATCAAATCAAGGACCTCTCGCTTTTGCCGTCGATGCTCAGGCTGAGTGCTGCCACAATGAGCTGGAGGTCAGACTTGGACTTGCTGCCCAATGCTCCTGCAAAGACCTCGGTGCCGTTGAGCCTCGCCATTTGGGCCTGGTGCTCGGCCGTCTTCACTGCTTTTGAAGCCTTGGCCTCCTCTTCTTTCCTCGCCTTCTCTCGCCGTTCTTCTTCTTCTGCAGCATGCCTCTCACGTGACTCAGCACTTATCAGGAGCTCAGCGTGAACTCCAAGCCCCTTTTTCTTCTTCCCCTTGCTCCTTATATTATTCAGCTTGTCCTTCAAGTCCGACTACTCACGCATCATGAAAGCATTATGGCCCTGCATCGTATCCCGCTCCCACCTCGCCTCTCCCTTCTGGATCTTCTCAACAAGGGCCTTCTTCGACATCATCAGCAGCAGCTGAGCCGGCTGCAGGTGGATCAACATCGCGGTGGGGGTGGTTGAGCACGAGTTTGCAGGAGAGGGCAATAGAGTGGGGATCCAGCTGCTGAGAGACTGGGACTGCGACCGTGTTCATTGCGACATGGAGGGCTCGGCACTTATGTCCCCTAGGGGTAGAGCGCCCTGGCTTACTTGATGTTACGATAACACAATTTTCGGACCTTTCCTTCTTTTTCATTCTCCGCTTTAACCTTGTACACTTTAGCTTTCACACATGGTGCCACGCGGCACTTCCCCTTTTGTTCAAACTTCCCTTTCTCGCGCCGCGTTGCCTTCTTCTCATTTTTAGATACAACTCTCTCACACAGTGGAGCTGGTCATGCGGGCTAGGCCCCATGACATTATCAGCCACTAAACTTTATCAACTGTACAGTACATAAGTACAAATACTCTGTATTAGTATATATACCCCAATAGATCCAGGAGACTCCTCAGCGAGTCCTCCTGTTGTATACCAACAAACTCTCTGCAACCTAAGGGGTAACCACTCCCTCTTCATTCTCTTTATAGTGTGTTCCTGTGTGCGCCAGAGTAACTAACTGTTGGTTGTTACACTTGAAGCCAGGCCCTTACACCTCTAGACGGCTGGCCGATGCTGTTGTTGTTGCTGCTGCTGTTGCCATTGTTGCTGTTGCTGTTGCCGCTGCCGTTGTCAAGTTCCACCTCCCCATCTGAAAGACTGGTTTCAGACCCATCAGAATCCCCTGTTCCCTCAGAGTTAGCACTGTCTGAGTCATGCTCAGAATGGTCAATGTGGCCAACAATAGTTGGCTTGCATAGTATTGCTCTGTCGTCATCATCCAAAACATAATCGGGGTCATCTGATGATGGGCCATCAATCCAACCATCAGGGAAGTTTTCCAGGTATGAAGCAGGGGCATGGTTGACGGTTGATGTTGAGACGCTTGGCGCATAGTCGGCGGCCGTGAAGACGTTCAGATTGAGGGGGTAGAGGCCACATTTGCGCCAGGCCTGCAGAGTTGTGTTAGTGACAAAAGCACTCTTACGAGCCTCCCAGTACTCTTTCACAACATGTTGCTGAGCGATGGATGTCCCATATTTGGCTGTGTACAGTTCTGCACGCTGATACTAGGCTTTCTGCAGGGGACCAAAAACGCCAACATCAAGAGGCTGTAAGCAGTGAGTAGTGTGCGGAGGGAGGCAGAGAAGATGAATTTGATTCTCCATAGCGAGATCAATCATGGTAGTCGTCAGGTGCAATCCATGACCATCGTAGACGAGAAGAGTAGGCTTGCCGGACTTGTTTTGAGCACGAGGTTGAGGAATGAATGATTTTCTAAACCACTCTGTGCATAAAAAGTTGTTAGTCCATCCATTAATTGACGTAGTAAACTGTAAAATATTAGTAGACAGATACAATGAAAAAATGGAAACGTACGAAATTTCAGGGTGAACTTCATATGACTCCGCATCAATGATCGTCCCTGCAAAAATAAAGCCAGGGAGTATGTTCGTGCCAACAGCGGAGACACACTCTATTACTGTAACCAACTCCAGACTACCCCCATGAATTGTGTAATTTTGACGGTCGAAACGAGAGAAAAAAAAACAGTGGCCGTTAGAATTTCGACCGCCTCCAAGTTGAATCCCCTTCTCATCCATATTGTAGATGTTCTCCCAAGGTATGTTGTGTTCCTTAATCACTGCCTCAAACTGCTTGAAAAAGTCCTGGACGACAGGTTGGTTGAAAGCTTGAGCTCGCATGGGATCAATGGTTGATGGCCTTTGTGATGCAATTTGTTCCTCGTGTTTCTTGATGAAGCGTCAGACCCACTTTTCAGAGGGATACTTGTTGCACATGTCAAAAACATAGGGGGCGATGGTTTGTTTGCAGAGGGGATGACCTGTATTACCTAGAAACTGAATCCATTCCAATAAAACCTCCTCCTGCGCCTGATTTAAGTGCTGCTGTTGGATGTGAGCCTCACAACATGGTACAGCCTTTCCCTTATACCTCCTGAGTGCAGTGTGATAGTGTTTGATGATTCCCAGATCGCGACACACTGCCTTGAGGTTCCTGGCTGCACCGGTGGTGGTAGCCTCACATGCTGCCTGTATTTGCTTTTTGAGGTCCACTACGTCGCTGGTGGGGGGATGGGACGTCGAAGTGTGGCGATGGTGCCTTCTGGTTCGTATGGGGGGCATAAGTTAAGAGATTTTAAGGGGATTAGGAGAGTAAAACCGTCGATATTGATGAGCTCTTTGCGCTTACCAGTGTGATCTTCATCCATCAACAAGTGTGCGGTTTGTGCGGGAGCGGAGCTGGCGGGCCTTGATTCATCATCTTGGTGCGTGATTGCCTGCTTCGGTCACCTAGTCACGACTTCATCATTGTTCTCATTTATCCAGACGCCTCGAGGCCCCAATCAGCTTGGTAAGTACCTGGCATTGTAGGCGCTTACCTATTGACGCTTCCCAGGACGAAACCGCAATATTCCGAGCATGAGATCTGGTCAAATCTGGGCATCTTTCCCTCAAAATTCACACCTTTGGAGATCAAGAGCTTAGTGTCAGGTCTATCGTTGTCGCTACAGGTAAGCTCTTCATTAAATTCTTTCACAATTATATTCCCTATACTCTATTCTACATCTGACAATTTTCTAGCTACCTGTACAGCGATTGTTGAGCCTGTGGAGGCCCAAGTGCATCTCTCTTACCGGTTGCATCCGGTGTCCAACGATAGTATATTGAATTGTGAAGCTTTGTAATAATTTCAGTCGGACTACAACTTATAAAAGGTCATCCCACGGTCATTCCCATTCCCTGATGTCTCTCTCGAAACAGTGGCTGTGTAGGAGTCTGTTCTAACTGTCTTCATGATAATCGTTCTTTAAAGCGAAGGCCAATGATGGCACGTTCAAGGCCGCGCTGAATCACGTTGCTCTCATACTAGTCGCATTGATAATATCGGCTTCAATGAACGCATGGCTGACACGCTTCAAGGGTTTATAACACGACTGAAGGTGCCGTCTACAGTTGTTTCCCCACTCTCCCACTCATCACGACTGTCGCTTGGTTTACATCCTTAACCATCGTAGTATCGTCTTACACAGGACTTCTCACTTTCTCGATGTCTCATGATGTGGACGTTCGGGGTACGATGGCCCAAGCTTGGTCCGTCGATGCACGCCATAGCACGTTCAGCGAAGTTCATGGCCAGCAAGTCAATGGAGACCATACAATAATTAATAATTACAACACAGATGATGGTATGAGTCGTTTTATCGCATGTTACTCAGCGGTATTAACATATCCATATGTTTTAGCCGAAGAGCGGAGTAAACTGGCTGCCTGGTTTACTCCTTTGAATTTCCGACAGAAACACAGTGACGTCTATGGAAGTAGACGAGAGGGAACGGGAGACTGGGTACTTGATGATGAAAAATTCAAGGAGTGGATAAGAGGCGACACGAATTCTAAAACCTTGTGGTGCCCCGGGATTCGTAAGCACATATCCTTTGATCATTGCCACGATGTTCCATGTAACTGATTCTGATTATGACAGCTGGTGCTGGAAAAACTATTCTTGCGTAAGTGTTTTAACAGACATCAAGTACTCACTCTGACCGAATGACCGAATTTTCTTCGCTTTTAGGTCACATATCATCAATTCTCTCACCGAAAAGCACAAGAACACAGACGAGGTTGCTGTAACGTACATTTATTGCGATTACAAAGAGCAACCGACGGTTTATGACATTGTTGCCAGTCTCTTGAAACAACTTGTTGAAAATTCCTCTCCTACCTTCAAAAATGTTGCTAGTGAATATAAATCTCATCAGAAAAAAGGCTACCGTCCAACTCTACAAGAGGTTCACAAGACACTGACATCGGAAATCAAACGGTTTTCGCAAGTTTTCGTTGTTGTTGACGCTTTGGATGAAATTACAGAACTTGGCACCAATCGTTATGAGCTGCTCAAAAGGCTCCAAGCTCTTGGATGCCATCTTCTGGTGACTTCACGTGATATCAAGTCAATAGGGGATGCCCTTCGTGAAGTCCCGTGTATGCGCATTCGCGCAAATGAAAAAGACATACGCCAGTATATCGAAGGCTGTTTCCTACCAGGGACGACGCTGGAAGGGCTCATCGCCGAAGATCCCCCTTTAAAAGAAGAAGTTGTCGAGTGTGTCACGAAATATGCAGATGGCATGTGAGTGCTTTTGAATCCTTTTTTGAAGAAGTAGTATCTCAATATTGGATAAGGTTTCTCCTGTGTCATTTGCATGTAGGGTCATTGGAAACCATGGTCACTTGTAAAGAGGTCCGGCACGCTCTGCAAAATCTATCCCAAGAGGTGAATAGTGCCTACGATCAAATAATGATCCGGATCAACAAACTAGACAAGAAACGCCGGGAACTTGCTTTGACGGCTATCATGTGTATCACTTATGCTTTCGAACCACTGAGCGATAGGGGGCTTCAAGAGGCTGTGACGCTTTCCCGCGGCGGTACAGGGATCAGTAGTGACGAACTTGTGGGTGTAGCCACCATATTGGGGGCCTGTTCTGGTTTAGTTGTGGTTGATAAAGAACGTTCTGTGGCTCGCCTGATTCGTGAGCAGTTTATAGTTCCAATAACCGCTACATCTGATCACCGTTCCATTAGACTACACTGCGCAGGATTACTTCAGCAACTATAAGGAATGGCTGTGCTTAAATCCTTCCTCTGAACTCACCGATATCTGCCTCAAAGCTTTGTCATTACCGCGACCTGCTGATCGCTCTGATGACGATGACTGGCCGTTTAGTGGGAAGTTTAGCTATTACGCTGTGGAAAATTGGGGAAATCATGCACGTGGTCTCGTTGAGGAGACAGATAAAGCCATAATACATGGTTTTCTTCACTACGAGCATAACGTCAAAAGACTGAGGGATGCAGAGTTCATGGGGGGCGACATTGGCTCCTTGATACATATATGCGCCTTTTTTGGCTTAGCCCGGACCATCGAATATGAACCTCGAAATGGAGCTGTTGTAGGCCAACGAGATGGTCAGGGTAGAACAGCTCTGCACATTGCGGTAGGCAAGAACCATGTAAAGGTAGTGGGTGTCTTACTCGATCGACGCTACGACATAAATTCACAAGACGGATGTGGCATGACGCCACTCTCGCTCGCAGTTACATGTGGACACATAGAGACTGTCAAGCTGTTGCTGGCAAGAGATGATGTGGAGGCAGGCTCGAAACATGACGGGGGTCGAACACTACTCTCCTACGCAGCCGAGGATGGAAATGAGGAAATCTTCAAGCTCTTGCTGGGAAGAGATGATATAGAGGCCGACTCAAAAAATGAAGAGGGCCGGACGCCACTTTCTTTCGCAGCCGAGAATGGAAACGAGAGAATGGTCAGATTGTTGTTGGAACGAGATGATGTGGAGGCTGATTCGAAAAACGCATGGGGCCAAACACCACTCTCATTTGCAGTCGAGTATGGAAATGAGGAGATCATCAAGTTGTTGCTGGCAAGAGATGATGTAGAGGCCGACTCGAAAGATGAAGAGGGCCGGTCACTACTCTCATTCGCAGCGATGAGCGGAAACGAGGAGATCTTCAAGCTCTTGCTGGGAAGAAATGATATGGAGGCCGACTCAAAAGATGAAGAGGGCCGGACACCACTCTCCTACGCAGTTGAGCATGGATGCATAAGGATCGTTAAGCTGTTGCTGGCAAGAGATGATGTAGAGGCCGACTGGAAAGATGAATGGGGCCGGACACTACTCTCATTCGCAGCGAAGGGTGGAAACGAGGAGATCTTCAAGCTCTTCTTGGGAAGAAATGATATGGAGGTCGACTCGCACGATGAAGAGGGGCGGACACCACTCTCCCACGCCGCCCGGTGTGGAAAGACGGAGATCGTCAAGCTGTTGTTGGCAAGAGACGATGTGGAGGCAGATACAAGAGATAAAAGGGGCCAGACACCACTCTCATACGCAGCCACGTATGGATTCACAGATAATGCCAAGCTGTTGCTTGGAAGAGATGATGTGGAGGTTAACTCAAAAAATAAAGGGGGCCAGACACCACTCTCATTCGCAGCACAGTATGGACACGCAGATATTGTCAAGCTGTTGCTTGGAAGAGATGACGTGGAGGCTGACTCCAAAGATGAAGGGGCCAATACACCACTCTCATTCGCAGTCCGTCATGGAACAGACAAGATCATCAGTTTGTTGCTGGGAAGACATGACGTGGAGGCTGACTCAAAAAATAAAGGGGGCCGGACACCACTCTCATTCGCAGCTGAGTATGGGCACATAGGGGCTGTCAAGCTGTTGTTGGGAAGAGATGACGTGGAGGTAGAATCGAAAGATGAAAGGGGCCGGACACCACTGTCATTCGCAGCCGAGAATGGATATGAAAAGATCGTCAGTTTGTTGCTGAGAAGACATGACGTGGAGGCTGACTCAAAAAATAAAGGGGGCCGGACACCACTCTCATTCGCAGCTGGGTATGGGCACATAGGGGCTGTCAAGCTGTTGCTGGGAAGAGATGACGTGGAGGTAGAATCGAAAGATGAAAGGGGCCGGACACCACTGTCATTCGCAGCCGAGAATGGATATGAGAAGATCGTCAGTTTGTTTCTGGAAAAAGATGATGTGAAGGCTGACTTGAAAGATAACGGGGGCCGGACACCACTCTCCTATGCAGCATTGTGTGGAAAGACGGAGATCTTCAAGCTATTGCTGGAAAGAGATGATGTGGAGGCCGACTCCAGAGATGAAGAGGGCCGGTCACCTCTCTCATACGCAGCCGAAAAAGGAAACAAGGACATTGTCAAGCTGTTGCTGGCAAAAGATGACCTAGATATCTATTGGAGACATAAACACGATCGGTTCAAAGCGGCGGAAAATGGGTGTGAACCTCTTTTCATTAGAGAAGAGGTTGACGTGAATCTGCAAGGCGAGAATGGAGACTCGCCACTGCATTATGCAGTGCGTCCTGGACATGACAATGTAGCCTCCTTGCTTCTCTCGCATTGCAATATCAAACCGAATTTGAAGAATGTGAAGGGACAAACGCCGCTGCACTCCGCAATCTTGGGTATCGATGGAAAAGATCATTTCTTCTACTCCTGCACTTCGAGAAGGCGGGAGGCGATTGTGGGCCTTCTTCTTGCGCACAATGATATTCGTATGGATTTGGCAGACGACAACGGGTTGACACCGCTGGTGCTTGCTCGCTCTCTCGAGGCTGTGGCGATGGTGAAACTGCTTGAAGAGTATACAGCAGGCTCCAAGTTTAATTCTATAGATAAAAGAGAGAACCGCACTACGCGGATGCACAGAACCTGGACCAGAGCATTAGCGACAACAGGCATGACGGTCGTTGGTCATCAGACAATACATAGGATAGATATTGCGCGACCTTTATTATGTTCCATACCACTTGTTTACAGTCAAGGTATGTCTCATTTATGGCTGACTTTATCTCCCCTCATCGGCTCACCACAATTATTACTCTCATTTTTAGACGATTCTCACTACCAATTAGAATCCCATCCCCCCAGTATCCCCCAAGAAAGCATACCTTCACCAGACTAGTTTGGTCGTTTCGCGACATTCAATTTTACTGTGTCAGTTTATAAGTACGGATCCTACTATAGCGCTCCAAGTAGACTCTTCATCAGGAAATTTACATGCATCTTAGGTGTCTTATTTTCACTTGTAAGCTACGTCAAGCTATACCAAGCTGTGTCAAGCTAGATCAAGCCAAAAAGGCTCATAAGTGACGCTAAGGCCAAGGTACAGCTGGTTGAAATAATGTATTCTAAGACTAAGATCACGGTCACAAGGCCAAAAAGTTGTTATAAGTGGTTAAGAAAAAACTAAGATGAATTTGTTCAAAAAATGACTAATAAGACAAGTAAGACTAAAAAGTGATTTCAAAAGCACTATGATCAATAAATTTGTTAACATAGAATGTGTCAAAAGAATCAAGAGAGTTGGCATAGTTGATGTCTTGTCCTATAAAAGCTTCACCAAAAACAGGCATCATATGTGCCGCTTGCATGATGCAGTCCATATGAATAACCTGAAGTGTAGGTGAGCCATCCTCATTGTAATCTGGACGCACCACCCACATCCCGGTGAGCTCATCACATTGATTGGCCATGCAGGAAAACCACTGCACTAATGCACATGGGTAGCGAACTCCCCAATAGGAAAAAAAGAAGAGTAATAGAATGTGAACAACATCAAGGCCCTGCATGCCAGGGAGTGTAGTGTCACATTCTACAAATTGTATCATGCCAAGCTGGACCTTTTCGCCATGTTGGCATTACACGGATCACTTCACGACGCATCCCACCGACACCACTTTTGTCACTTGGTGACAAAACCAGATAAATCTGGTTTCTGCCGAAGCAGCCATTGTTCTCCATGGAGTTGACAAATTATGACATTTGTTTATAGTATGAGAAAACATGCATTGGCCAGGGCTTGAACCTGGGACTCCAGCTTTCATGGTCTGGTGCTTTACCAACTAAGCTACCAAGGTGTACTTGGAAAGCATACTGATTGGTTGTATGCCCAGAAGGTCCAGAATCACTGTACACGAGTGCGGATCCCATTGTGTTGTGATAGGAATCACCATTGTTTTCCTAGGAGCACAATTGTACTCCTAGGAGTCATTATACTATAGCGAGTAGCACCTCCGACTATAAGTAGTAGGGGGTTTAGTATAGAAATACCTCAGTCGTTTCTATAGCCTCTTGGGCAGCGGCTGAGGTATGTTACATTACATTTATTAGAGATCACTCCAAACTGACATCCATTGTAGTTTCACATAGGTAAATAATACAGTCGTTTCTATAGCCTCTTGGGCAGCGGCTGAGTTTCACATAGTTTTATCAGGTTATGAGCCCTGGTGCGCAAAAGCTACGCAGGAAATAATTCTTATTTGAAACGGCAACCTTGGAACCATGACCACAGCACACAATACATCCACATGTCCAGTTCTCACTGGACCCAACAATTTTCAGATATGGAAACTCAAGATCATCTCAAAGCTACGTCAGGAAAAAGTTCTCCGGGTTGTTACTGGAGAGGAGCTTAAGCCCTCACCAGGAAAACCTACCTCCTCGGAGGATCCTGAAATCACCTGGATACTTAAGGATGAGAAGGCACATGGAATCATCCAGGACCACATCTCTGATGCCCTCCTAATGAGGACTGGAGACCTCACCAGCTCCAAGGAGTCATTGATAAAATTATCTCACTCCATCAGACGTCCAACATTGCCTCGGCCTTCTATTCATTCCAGCAACTCACCAAATTGTCCTGGGATGGGACATCACCTATCCAGGACCACATTGCGGAAATCTGGACAATTGATTCACACCTCTCTGGAATGAAACTAGGAGTTGATACCAAACTCATGGCCTTTGCTCTTCTCCAATCTCTCCCATGCACTCCTGAATGGCAAATATTTCAGTCATTGGTAATCAACACAATTGAAGAAAATAAACTTACCTTTGATGCAGTTGAGATCTGGATCACTGCAAAAGTTGCACGACAGTCAGGGAAGGCCCCTGGAGGTTCCAAATCAGCACTTAAATCCGAGGAGAAGTGGTGTGACTTCCACAAAGCCAAATCACACAACACCTCGGAGTGTTGAACACTTCAGTCAGCTGGAAAAGGTCAAAAGAAGAAGGGAAAGGAAAGACACAAGGATAAAGGAAAAGAGAAGGAAAAGGCAAATACAGCGGAGCAATCATCTGAATCTGACTCCGAGGAGGAACAAAGTCATATTGCATTGGAACATGTACATATTTCCAAGCCCCTTGCTAAATGCATTCAAGCTGTTGGAACCCAATAAGACCAAAACAACAATCATCATTAACTCCAGAGCAACATCTCACATGGTCCCTTACCACTCCTGGTTTGAGCCAGGAACATACCATGTTCTGAATCCTCCAAGGACAATCAGTTTTGGGGATGAATCCTCTGTAAATGCCATTGGAATTGAAACTGTAATCTAATCCTACAAGCAACTGCTGGCAAAAAGGACTACAATATCACACTGTCAAATGTCTTACTTGTGCCAAACTTCACTTTAGCACTTGTCTCTGTCCACAAATTGTCTAAAACAGGGTTATCAACACTTTTTCCAGCAGGGTCGAATGCTTGTGAAGTTCGGAAAAAGAAGAAGAAGGAACTTATCCTCACTGCCTTACACAAGCAAGGACTTTATCACATCCAAGCAAAACCTGAAATCAACCCGGAGTCAGCTTTTGCAGCAGTAGATGTAAATTTATTGCACAGGAGAATGGGACACATTAGAATAGACCGCTTGCAACAAATGGTTACAAAAGGACAGCTCCAGGACATAGACACCCTTACCGGAACCCCGGAGTTTTGTGAACCTTGTGCTTTAGGAAAGATAAAGAAATTACCTTTCAAGTCCACTGGAGGAAACCAAGCCAAGCGCCCCATACAAAATGTGCACACAGCTGTTGGAGGACCAATCAAACCAACTTCCAGGGAGGGTTTTTGGTACTGGATTATCATTGTAGATGATTTCTCCAAATTTCCATGGATATATTTCCTAAAACATAAAAGTGAAGCACTGGAACAATACAAGCAATAGAAAGAAGATGTCCAAACATTCTTCCGGACTCATTTGGGAGAAAAAAACTTCACTCCACTGTACACAGAATTCCTCCGGAGCGATGGGGGAGGAGAATATACTGGCAATGCATTCAAAAATCAACTCCGAGGAGATGGTAGCATCCAAGAAACTACAGCTGCAGATACTGCGGAACAAAATGGCATTGCAGAACGCATGAATCAGACATTGGCTACATTAGCAACCACTATGCTCCATAATTCTAAGCTCCCAAAGTCATTTTGGGTAGATGCCATGGAAACAGCTGCATATATCACAGCACACAGCCCAGCATCAGGACTTCATGGAAAGACCCCATATGAAATACTGTTTAAAAGGAGAGTTGATCCAACTTTATTTCGCCCTTTCGGATGCCAAGCATATGCCTTGATTCCGAAAGACAAAAGGCAAGGGAAGTTTTACTCCAAGGGGCACAAAGCCATAATGATTGGCTACACACATGGAAAGCAAGCCTACAAACTCCTAGGCACTGAAAAACAAACTGTGTTTTCCAGTCGGCATGTCATATTCAATGAATTAGAAAAGGTACAAAAGGACGACACTGCTCCCTGGAACACAGAAACTAGCACAGATCAGTGGGAGGGACTCATTCCAGAGAATGCTCACTATCCAGACCAAAAAACATGGGAGGAGGATGATCCTGACCCTTGGATCCAAGATCCAAATGAATTGCAAATGGAACCACATCTCCAAGGAGATGTTTCACAAGCAATAGAACCATATCAGCATGGAGATGTTCCGAGAGCAGTGGGAGCACCTGATCAGCTAAGACACCCTCCACAACAGTCTCTACAACCAAGACGAACACTGGCCATCTTCAGAACGGAAAGCCAAAGTAGAGTCACAGTCAGTGGGAGGACAGCCCCTCAACATACAGCTAGCTGATGTGGAAAAAGTCCGAATACAGCTAGACAGCCTGTCCATTGGATCAGCTTCTGGAAGGCATACAACACCTCCAAGGAGTGATTCAACACCTTCAGGAGTGAGTGGGGCAACACACACACAAATGTGTCTACTCCCTGGGATACCTGCTGAAGTCCTAGGAGTACGCAGAAGTAGTCGCCAGACCCGTCCTGCAGACAAAAATTGAGATTATCAAAGGACTCTAGATGAGGAACAGTCTCGAAAAGAGCAGCATGACAACTCCATGGAGAAACCTAACACTCCTGAGGTTCATGAAGAAACATCTGATACAGAGGAGACATTCTTTGCTGGAATAGCAAGTACCGGTCTATCCAACACAGACCTTCCAAAGACACTAAAGGAAGCCTTATCACGTCCGGATGGAGAATTATGGAAGTCTGCCTTGGAGGAGGAACTCCTAAGTCTCAATACTAATGCAGTATATGACACTTTCCCACTTCCAAAGGGAGTGAATGTAACAACCAAGAGTTAGTTACTCTGGCGCACACAAGAAGGGTAGTGAAGAGGGAGTGGTTACCCCTTGAGCTGCAGAGAGTTTGTTGGTTAACAACAGGAGGACTCGCTGAGGAGTCTCCTGGATCTATTGGGGTATATATACTACTACAGGGTTGTTTGTTCATGTATACTATACAATTTGATAGAGACAGTGGCTGATGATGTCATGGGGCCTAGCCCACATGGCCAGCTTCACTGTGGGAGAGTTGTGTCTAAAATAAGAAGAAAGGCAACGCGGTGCAAGAAAGAGGAGTTTGGACAAAAGGGGAAGTGCCGCGTGGCACCATGTGTGAAGGCTAAAGTATAAGGTTAAAGCGGAGAATGAAAATAAAGGAGAGGTCCGAAAATTGTGTTATTGTAACAATGAAACCTATCACATCAAAACCTGTGTTCTGGATCAAGTTTGATCAAAACAGAAACATTGAGAGATACAAACTCCGGATTGTTGCACTTGGTTTTACTCAAAGGGAGGGGATTGATTACCAGGAAGCTTTTTCTCCAGCTGCAAACTTAGAGTCAATCCAAATTATTCTAGCCCTAGCAGCAAAGTACGACCTAGAACTTGATCAAATGGACATATCCACAGCTTATCTCAATGGAGAACTTGAAGAAGAACTGTACATGCTTCCTCCAGGGGGTGTTCCTATCCAACCTGGATACTATTGGAGGTTGAAGAAATCCATCTACAGAATAAAACAAGCTGGTTGTACATGGAACAAAACTTTTGATTGCAAGCCCCAGGAGCTCGGTTTCACAAGACTAAATGCAGAAACATATCTCTATGTATTGCAGGACAACAAACAAATATACTTTGTTGTTGTCTATGTAGATGACCTCCTCTTAGGAGCTTCATCCCGGAAATTCAGGGATATCACAAAAGCCAAACTTGAATCCATATTCAAAATGTGGGACCTTGGAGAAGCAAAATACATCCTTGGAATAGAAATCCGACGTGATTGTTCAAACAAAACAATATCTCTATTGCAACGCCAATACATTGACACAGTTCTGGAGCGTACTGGAATGAAAAACTGCAAACCAGTATGGACACCAATAGCCTATGGATCAAAACTCCTCGCAAACGCTCCAGGGGAAAATATTGTGCAACACAAGATGCATATTAAAGGGCGTCAAGTGTCATACCTCTCGATTGTAGGCTCCCTCATGTATGCCATGCTCGGAACCCGCCCAGACATTGCCTATGTTGTTGGAATACTAAGCAGACATAGCTCAGCTCCAAGGAGCCATCACTGGGAAGCTGCAAAATGTGTCCTCCAATATCTGAAAACAACCAGGGACATGGAACTACAATTATATACACATTCCCATGTCATCTATTCCTCCAGCAATCAATATACAAAATGACAACAACACATTGATGGTGTTTATATGCCATTCAATGCCTAGGCATATGAAGACAACTCTAGTGGCCCACCTCAAGGCTATCTTTGATGGGTTGCCAGTATTCTCCAGTGCTCTGGGTAATGATAAACCTTTCAAATGTCTCCACTTCTCCTGGTGGAACAGATATGGGACTCAGGTATGTTTCCCCCCCTCTCTCTATATATATCACTCACATACAGACATTGATGAAGGGTTATGGGGCACCTATTGATGTGCACCCACATGAGTTAGGTATTACTAACAAAACCCAGATGATCCCTTTTTTGTCAAAGGAGGGCTCAGACAATAAGCAGCTTTATTTGAACTTGCAGAATGCTTTTGCAGATGTTTTCCAATCAATTTCTGACGTTGTAAGATTTCTGCTATTTCTTTCATGCCTAAATTTCTCTGATGTATGTGTTTCCTAGATGGAATTCTGCCTACCAGAAGAATACTCTATGCTAGCCAAGATAGTTGATATGCTCCCTGGAAAGCCAGGATCTCCTGTCACTCCTTTTTTATCTCTTGTTGTTAATACTAATGTGAGCACCACCGCTCATGGGGATGGTAAGGATCACATCCTTTGTCTTGTTCTTCCACTGGGAGATTTTACAGAGGGTGCTCTTGTGTTACATGAGCAGGGACTTGTTCTTGAACTGAAGAGTGGGGACTTTGCCATTTTCAGATCTAAGGAGTCAACGCACTTTAATTTAGATTATCAGGGTGAGAGAGCCTCATTTGTCTTACACACACACAGATGGTCAGTTTAGGAATTGGGTAGAAAATAGAAATGGTTGCGAGGGGAATGCATTCTTTAAGTAGATGTAGCTTAAAACTTAATATCAGTTTATTTGGGTTGCTTGTTTTGACTTATAGGTTTTGGAAGGGATAGAGGGGACACAGGTAATGTGTCATTTTGTGGGTCCCAGTATAGTTTGTTTTTGCTTATTTATTATGAATTACCATTCTGCTGAAGACGCATTCAGGTCTTGCCATTTTTGCTTGTTTTTTTGAGGACTTCAACGCCTAGAATTACACGGTCTAAACAATCTACTGCTCTCAGAACTAGGGGCAGAGGTGTAGCAAATGATCTAGTGACAGCATCCTCTCCATCACCATCTCCTTCAACTCAGCCTAGACAGCCCCAGCCACGTCCCCATAAAAAGGTCTTTATTATTTATTTTACACCAATAACTTACTATGTACAATTTTCAGGCTATTTCTGCAAGACGCAATGCCACAGCTGCCACAGCACTCAGCAAAGAAGATGAAAATTTGCTTGGGGCTCTTCTAGCAAGAAAAAAGGCTGCATTAGCCTCAGAAGCTGAGGCAGAGAAATCTGGTATGTGATCTTACTCTTAAGGGCAAAAAAGGGCACAAAAACTGAATACCTATTTGCAGCTACGCGTAAGAGAGTAGCAGCAATGTTGGCTGATGAAGAAGATTCTGAAAGAGATGACCTACATGGCAAGAAAATATGTTTGAATGGTGATGATAATGACAACAATGATAATGAGGATGTTGCTGATGATGATGACAATGCTGATGATGGCAAGAATATGATAGATCATATCCTTGTTCCTGCAGAAATATTTAGTGATGATCAAGATAATTCTGTAGTACCTCCTTTACAGCCTCTATCAGATGATAATGAGGAGAAGGAGGAGGAGCAGAAGGAGGACAACAATAATGAGGTAAGACTATTATTGCCTTGAGAACATTTATTTACTTGCCTACAGGTTGTAAGAGGAACAGATTGTTCAGATTGTTTCTACATCTACGTCTACTATATCACGCAGCCCCAGCATCATTTCTTTTCCAAAATCTTCCACTGCAAAACCAGAACTTCATTCTATGGCCTGCCCTATCATCAAACATATTGCAAGCCTGGCTCACAAAGCTATGAGACTTTTTACAGTCACAGAAAAAGGATTTCTAAACCCCCTCAGTTGTCAATTAATATGCTGGGATTTGTTGGTCAAAGCCACAGCAGCAGAGAATGACAGTGGCCTAGTGGACAAAATGAAGGAGAGATACAAGACAATCAGGTCCTCAAGTCTCAATTACTACAATATGTGAGCTTAAACTTCTTCATATATATCCATACTGATTATCACCGTAAATACAGATGTGGAAAGGTTCTACACAGGTCAGAGGGGAACTTATTTCCAAAGCTAAAATCAGTGTACCGCTACATATAGCATCAAAAACATCCACAAGGACAAACTAAGTGATATGATCCATTGGATCATAAACTCAGAAGCTTTTATCAATAACACCATAGATTTAAAGGTGAGTTATTTTCAAGCTTTATTGTTATACATATACTAACTGCAAATATACAGGAGAAGATGTCTGACACAAACCAACCTTGGAAGAATGATATCATCAAAATTCTTTTTCAAGCACAAAGGTGGGGTCCCGAAGGTGAAGGTAGAAAGTATGGTAGAAAAAATAACCCATATCTACACAATCTCCCTACTTTGGCTCTAGTAGCATACTCTGTAAGTGTTCATATTTTCTTTAAATAAAACTGATGATCAAATTTATTTACCAGATTGAATGTGCTTCACTAGGTGCTATTAACAATGCTACAATAGAATTCTCTGAGACAGTATTTTCTGTTAGGTATGTCACCTTAATCACCATAAATCTATACTAATTATACTTTTACAAGGTGGGATCATCATATTATCACAACACACAATGGGATCTGCACCCGTGTACAGTGATTCTGGACCTTCTGGGCATGCAACCAATCAGTATGCTTTCCAAGTACGCCTTGGTAGCTTAGTTGGTAAAGCACCAGACCATGAAAGCTGGAGTCCCAGGTTCAAGCCCTGGCCAATGCATGTTTTCTCATACTATAAATGTGAGGAATCGATTTTTCTTATCGCATTCCCGTCATGTCGTGGTTAGCAGACTCGATCCCTGTCACTCCTCTTGCCCTTGGACTAGAGATTACAGCAGGTGTTTTATTACTTTTATCTTTTTTCTTCTTATTCTCTATTCACACTCACGTCCTATTGTACCTACAACAAAGGAGACTTGTTGTAGACCCTCGAGAAGATATCCAAATGACATAGCAACAATCCAGTGCTATGTCTGGGAATACTTCGGAGGAATATTGATAAGCAAAGAAGGTTGTGAGTCAGCGCCTTCTCATGGGCTTACTGATACAGCCAATCGCACATCCCTTACCAATACATTTTCTCATACAATTAGTAAATACGATAGATCGGACCACCTTCTCCTTTTTTTCTTATTGGTTAGCTAGCTGGTCAGACCACTTTCTTAGTTCTTCCCTTTCTCGGTCTGACCATCGCCGTTCACTATATAAAGAAGTACATACTCAATGTACTATTCTGTAGTTCAATATTAGTTTGGATTTGCGCTTATACCAATACTCTTCATCCTCATACCCTGATTCATCGCCTTCCAACAAGGACTTGACCAGGCATTGTGTTTTGTTATATAGCTTCGTATTTGTTGCCTGACAAAATATTGAACTCACCATCCTTTGAATCCTTTTCCAGAGCCACACTTTGGAAAACCGTTTCCTTACACCCTGAAAAAAAGACTGTTGTTGCCACTGCACTGGTCTAAACCTTCATCATCACCTTCTCCACATCTCTACCATCCCTATCCCTCTCCTCACTATTGTCATCAACCTCTCACTATCCACACCACTACACCTATTGTTGTTCAGTCCTCTCAATCTGGACGTTTTATCTACCATCACCGCTCTCGTCCAATTCCTTGCGTTCTTTGCCATCATCAGATACCTTCAAACCGGACTCGTCAGCGACGTCGTATACCTCCACCGTGTCTACATCCCAACAGCTCTCAGAAGAGTGGGTATCAGATACGGACCACAGACACCAGAGAGATTTCCTCGCAGCCCTCAACAAACGGCTCCCGGTCCTCCCCGTCCCTACCGAAGTCCGTACTCCAGACGCGGAAGAAACGGTCGAACAGATCACTGAGTTGTATCAAGATTCCTCTGCTTCGTCTTCTCCAATCAATCCAATCGAGGAAATCATCCTTGACATAAACAACGCCCTCGCTCTCACCCAGTCTATTTTTTACCATTCCGCCATCTGTAGGAGAAATTCTCGCAGCCTCGAGGAGCACGGACAAATTCTGTTGATCGACTACTTCGAGAGTCTAGTACGCCCAAGTTACGAGAATACCCAGAGGGTTAAGCTTTTGAAAGGAGTAGCCAACATACAAGAACAAAACCTGCAGCTTATTTCACAGAACCATATTCCAGACCTCCTCGATCTTTACCGAATTCGCCCTCTTTCATTCCCTGACATACCCAGCCGCCTCCTCCCCTATGACTTTGAACACACCTTGCTTTGCGGCATTGTGCTAAGAAAGAGGCCTCACAAAGAACCCACCTACGACATCCCATCCTCATTTTTTACAACCGACTACTACAACACCTACTCCGCCTTTCCTGTCAGTTACCAACCCATCCAATACTTTTGCATCAGCAATCACCTTGACAACCTTTCCATTGTCCAATATCTGACACGATTTTGCTGAACTCTCTACCTCCCCGAAGTCCAAGATCTTGACGCATTCGGACCACGGTTTGGTCTTCAACACAGTACTTCTATCATAATTGTCATGCCCTCTACCAAAGATCATATTCGACAAGTTGTTGCTGCGTTAGCACGATTTGATCAGCTCATCGCAACCGCTCAGAGGAAATTCCGTGACGGAGAAGACTACAAAACCAAAATCAACCATATCCGATACGTTTCCGAATACGTCAACGAATATTATTGGATCTTAGAAATCCTCACACCATTTGTAGTCAATCAGCAATCTGATCATCCCGAACGCTTCATCGTTACAGTCCTCCAAAGCAACTTCTGGGCCGTTGTTAATCATAGCTCACAAACTTGTATCTATTTGCAGTACTCGTACACCTACCAAGGTCAAAGAGGAGAAGCATCGCTCATTCCGTCGGTTGAACAGCTTTTCGCACCTTGCGCAGAAAGGATAGAACAAGAAACAAGAAGCTCATTAACGGATATAGTTGGAGGATAATCAGACGAAGGAACTGAGTCGGAAAGCGAAGAATCTACTGAAAGCATAGAGTACTGGAGGCCCCAGGAAGCAGAAGGAGGAGATTTCCCCAGTAACTTTGAATTTGACCCGGACTTTAATTAAACAAAGACTCGTTATCTAACTCGTTAAGAAACTGGAGCCCTATTGAGAACCCCGTCCTCTGGTCACTCCTGACACACCTCCCACACATTCTCTAGGAGCTGCTGCAGAAGCTCTAGAACCCGACGATCTATATCAATCCACAGGACCGGAAGACTTTCCTCCCCCACCTCTAACTCCAGAACCCAAAAACCAACCCAACGATTGGTTCAATCAGGAATCTTTAGACCTTGAACCTGATCTAGCAGCAGCAATGACCGACGAAACAAATCAAGGTAGCAAGGCTGTCCTTGCCACTCCTCCGTTCGAATTCATCGGTAAAAAGGAAACGTACGTCGACTGGAAGAACGCCTTAGCAAACTACTTTTTCGCCTATCCCAGAAGTTTCCAAACCAACTCCTCCAAAATCCTCTTTGCATTATCCCAAATCTCGTCCGATAAAGCCAATGATGCCTGTCACACCTGGAAGACGAATTTCAATAACAAAACCGCAGTGCTAGGAGACCTATTTGCACCACGGAATTGGGGAACTATCTCAGAATTCATCAAGGAATTAGATAACAAATTCCTGGATCCCCATCTCAAGTTGAAAGCAGAAATTGCCCTTCATAATTACAAACAGCGAGAAATGACGGTAGACGCATATTTTGGAGGACTCGAATCCAAACTTATGGAAGCAGGGTTACCACCAGATGCAGATGAAAGTTATCTGTTCATTCACAGTATCCTTCGCCGCAACCTCTCTCAATTCCTTTGTGATCGTATCTCGCAGCAGGAAAACCTACCCACCACATACTTAGAGTGGAAGGCAGCAGCGAGGAAACGGGAACAGCAAAACGAAGAACTTAATCTGGAAAGGAGGAGAGATAGACCCCCTCAACAGAGGCTGCCATCTCAGTACCAACGATATCAACCGCGTTATCAACAGAACCAAAACTATCCCCCACCACAGCATCGACAAACAGTACCACGTACGGAGACGCAGAGACCACGGTATATCCAATAACGACCATATTATACTCCATCACAAAGATTGCCGCCCCAGAATGCAGTCCATCCAAACACAACAGGAACGTTTGGAGGATCAGGCGTAACTATGGAGTTTGGGAGTTCCAACACACAGAGACAACGTCGGCCCAACCCGAACATTATTTGTTACAATTGTGGCGAACAAGGCCACATTGCTAGAAATTGCCCACATGGAAAGATGGCAATACGATATATGGAAATGGAGGAAACCAGAGACACTCTCACTACATCATCATTAAAAGAAATCGAAGTGCCTCCAAAGGATTTTCAGAAAGGTCAGGAGTAAGCACGGACTCTCTGACCCGTAATGTTGTACTTAACCCTCGTATGATACCAACGACTGCAATGAAACGAGTTGATCAACATCTATGTGCTGTAACCGAAAACTACGCGAAGCCACATTCACCGGAATGGTTGGCCAGACGAATCAAAGACCAGAAACCAGAAAGAGCAAGAGCTCTGTTACGAAACTAGGCACATAAAGATCACTACAATGTCGATGATGAGAACTGTTGTTAGAAAACCACACACAAAAACAAACTAACACACAATGCTCCCAGATTCCACGGAACTTGTTTATGGGCTTTGCCTCCTAGAACAGTGGGTGCTCTGGTTGTTCGTGGGGTGGTATGCATGAGGATCCTTCAAAGTAAAACCCAGAGGTGTATGAGTGTGGGTTTTGAGGAGGAGGGATAGTTGAATTTATAGACAGATAGGGGCTTTGTGGCGAGTATAGACGAGCACTACCTTGCTAATTGTAGCCAAGGTAGGTTTGAGAACAACAAGGATGACGAGGTGACGAGGTTCCCAGTGATAGCAGGCTCCTGACGCACAAACTGTAGTGCTCAGAAGGACTTTAACCGAAAGGGATGACAATGACTTCAAAAGTGGGAAGTGACGATGACAGCAGTTGACAGTGGTAGCAGTGGGAAGTGTTGTGACCACACTGGATCACAAGCAGCAGAGTAGTGAACTTGAATTTAGAGAAGAAGTCTGGAATGGAGTTCTTGTTTTTTTTACAAGGTAAAATACAGGGGTTTATATAGTAAAAGAAAAGTAGGCTATGCACAGTATAGCTGTGCAAAAAGAATGAGAAAGAACATGAAGGAAGGAATGTATGCTGACAAATCCTGCGTAGGTAGTACAGGATAAGATTGTCAAAAAAAGGAAAGAAAGAGATAGAACAATAAATGCTGTGAGTAATATCACAGGTTTGTACAGCCATAAAGTAAAGTCCAATAGCAAAAAGAGAGCAGGAGAATCATGATGTCATGGGAAGATGCAGTAAAAAAAAGGCAAGGCAAAACACTATCAGTATCAACACAGTTCCTTTATTGTCATTCAGGCATTCTAAAAAATATGTGTCCATAAAAATGATTCAAAAATCAAAAATAATCGCACTGTAAATGAATGTTCTGCTGAAGAAAAAGAAACTGGAGCCACCGGTCCACCACCGGTCCACCACCTAGTCCAAATCCAACAGTTCCATGGCCTTACCAATGGGCTGGTTGTGTTGGACCACCTGATCAAACGAGGGAGGGAGAGAAGTAGTTCCAATTTGGAACAAGTGAGTCCCAGGCAGCGTGTGGTAGGTGTAGCTGTAGCGAAGACGATGGACAAAAGATAAGTGTACCCAAGTGAATGGGACAGCGATGAACATGGGCAACGCAAGGGGATGAACCTTCTCCAGCTCAAAAACTACCCACCCACGCTCCAACCAGGCAAGACGAGCGACCGATGTTTTGATAGTATATGATGGCAGATCAACGTCATGAAGATGGACCTGTTGCCCTATTTGAACCGGCCGCCGAGGCTTTGCTGATATCAGCAGTGGCACGTGGTGATCAACGGATCGGCGACGGAAGCGGATAGGAATAGGAAGTGGTGACATCAGAAATGGTGGGGGTGCAAATAAGATGACGAGGAGGAGGGTGGAGGTGACGAAAAAGTGGATTAGAATGGGGATCCAGAAATGACCGTCAGGTGAGAATAAAAAGGAGAGGAAGGGGCCCATAGTGGGGCTAGGCAAAGGAAGGGGAGTAAGGGAAACGACAAAAGGGAGGGCGCAATGCAATGTGTAGCCAGTGGCGACGCGAAAGTTTGCCGAAATGCCAAAACACGGAAAGTACCGAATGGAAAAGCAAAGGTGAGCGTGACTGGATTGCCTGATAGAGGTGGTGCTGATCAGCCACAAGTTCGAAACAGGCAATATTAATTACTATTCCACGTGGCACTGTGCCTGTGTGGCGCAAAGGCGAGTCTTTTTGAATATTCGCTTTGTTATTGACACCTATCCATGCTACCAATCAACTTTGGTGCATGACACCGCATGGCACAGTGTGTGAAAACTACAGTAAAAGGTTAAATAGGAGAATGAAAATTAAAGGTCCGAAAATTGTGTATCGTAAGATGATATGCTCTGGATTGATCCAGTTAACTTTAAAAGGTGTTTAAAGGTATTAAAGTCATTTATATCAAACCATTGCAAGGTTGTATACAGCTGGGGTGACTTTGATATATTTGACTTTTTATGCTATAGGCAATTTTTATATGCTATATAGCAAGGGACTTTGTAAGGTTTGCACTCACAGATCTGAACAGATCTGAGTGATAATTTTGCTATAATAGCATATTTTTTGCAATTTATGGCATTTATAGCCAGATCATATTTTCCTGATGTTGTGGGTGTCCCAAAGGCGCTTCATTGTTTGACCTTTACTTGTGGAAATTGATCTATGCCAGAGACATTAGCGGTAACAAGTTGGAGAGTCTGAAAGATGGATATCTCACCCCTCGCATCCAGTACTTCCTCTACAACACTTTACGAGCTTTTGGAATCACTATTGATAATTTGTACACCTGCAATGTTACTGGGAAAGTGAAAAATAAGTGTGTTGAGGGGAATAATTGATAAGTTGGTGGAACACCTTCATACCTTGAACAAGAGAGATGGCAAGGCAAAAGAGGTCTTTGGGGTTGTGTCAGATGAGTTCGAGGTTGGGCCAGACAATGAGAAGAGCAAGTCAGGTACATCTACAACTACAACAAGTAGCACAAGTGAGGAAAGCATTGTATAAGCACAGTTTGAAGAGTTCAAACAAGAACCTCTGTCAACAATGTATTGCATATTATCCTAACTGATTATTGCACATGTGCCACAATAACAAAATGGCAAAGTTGTAGAACACATCCATGCTTATACCTCGCCATACAACCCCATGCCAAAACAAAGCCTCCATGTCATTTCTCAAGTCACTACCACAGATGACAGACAAACATTCACCGTACCAACCCTTATCGACTCCAGTTGCACCAACTCAGTTATTGATCAAAGCCTGATGAACAAGTACACCCTCAATACTACGCCCCTGCCCGTCCCTCTTGACGCCGCAGGAGCCGATGGTCAATCCCAGAAAGTAATGCACTATGTCACCCTTCACATCAATGTGAAAGGGAAAGAACATTTGATAGATGTCATTGTAGCATCACTACTTTCACCGCGCATACTGCTTGGATACGACTGGTTGATACTTACTAATCCAACAATTGATTGGCGGGCCAACAAGATTACCTTCCCTGCCGATGATCCGGAGTATCATCCTAAAGAAGGGGATAAAATCCTAGCCGTCGATCTTGAAACACGAATCATGGAGATAACACAGCTAGAATTGAATGCTTTTGCCACTAAAAGTCAACAAATAGCTGAATCCTCCGAAAAGGCAAAGTCAAAGCTCAACTTCCGAGATGTCGTTCCCCCAATCTACCATGAATTCGAACCCGTTTTCACCAAAGAATCATTTGACAAACTTCCCCCAAAATGTCCTTGGGACCATGTAATTGAGTTAGTACCCGAGGCTAATGGTCTTGACTGCAAAATGTACCCTCTTAGCCGAGACGAACAACACCATTTAGACGAATTCCTTAATGAAAACCTAACAAGTGGACGGATTTGAGTATCTAAATCACCCTACGCATCCCCATTCTTCTTTATCAAAAAGAAAGATGGTTCACTACGCCCTGTCCAAGACTATCGCAAGCTGAATGAGCTTACCATAAAGAATCGCTACACCCTCCCCCTTATATCTGAACTCATCGATAAACTCAAAGGTGCCAACTACTTCACAAAACTAGACATACGATGGGGATACAACAATGTCCGAATCCAAGATGGAGACAAACACAAGGCCGCTTTCAGGACCAATTGCGGCCTGTTTGAACCTCTTGTTATGTTTTTTGGACTTACCAACTCGCCAGCGACCTTCCAGACAATGATGGACCACCTCCTAAGAGAACTAATCACTGAAGGAAAAGTTATTGTGTATTTAAACGACATCATGATCTTCACGGAAACACTTGAGGAACATCGCCAAATAGTCACCAAAGTCCTCCGTATCCTGCAACAAAACCAGTTATATCTTAAACCGGAAAAATGCGAATTTGAGAAACAGGAAGTCGAGTACTTAGGCATGATCATTTCCAAAGACACTATCTGTATGGATCCGTTAAAAGTCGCAGCAGTCACTGACTGGCCCGCACCAAAGAATAAAAAAGAACTCCAATCATTCCTAGGGTTCTCCAACTTCTATCGACGATTTGTCAAAGACTACGGACGAATTGCAAAACCACTCACTGTGCTCACCGGCAAAGTTGACTGGACCTGGAAAGATGAACAAGAGACATCTTTTGAAACATTGAAGAAAACACTTACTACTGCTCCCACCCTCGCTATACCAAACGACAACGACCCATTTAAACTAGAAACCGACGCCTCTGACTGAGCTGTAGGAGCTGTCCTATCCCAGAAACAAAAAGATAAATTCAGACCCATAGTATTCCTCTCGAAAGCCCTTACCCCTGCAGAACGAAACTATGAAATTTACGATAAAGAGATGCTCGCAGTCATGATGGCGCTAGATGAATGGCAACATCACCTTATAGGATCAAAACACCCCTTCACTATCTTCACAGATCACCAAAACCTCCTTTACTTCCGTCAACCTCAGAAATACAATCGACGCCAAGCTTGATGGTCGTCTCAGCTTGCAGATTATAATTTCAAAATGGAACACGTCAAAGGAAATCAAAATACAAAGGCTGACCTGTTAAGCAGACGAATCAATCATCCTAAAGGCACAAACGATAACGAGAATCAGACACTTCTCCCAGACGTACATTTTGAAGTACTTGACACCAACAAAGGATACCTACCAGATATATGTCGAAGCTTCCAGAAACAAGACGACATAGTGAAGAAGAACTTGAAAGAGAAGTCGGATACCTGGAAGGTGAAGGATAGGATCATCTGGATCAAGAGAGAATCTGCGACGAGTTCCTACCCGATCCCATTAGCTGACCGCGTATACGTTCCTTGAGACCACGAATTACGGGCGCGGATATTAAAGGATCATCATGACAAAGTTCTGGCTGGACACCCAGGAGAGAGAACAATGTTTGAACAAGTAAACCGAGAGCTCTGGTGGCCGAGTCTTCGTACAGATATCAGACAATATGTACGAGGGTGCAAGAGTTGTCAATGCACCAAGGCACGTCGGACCAAGCCTAACGCCCCTCTACACCCAAACACGATACCAGATCGGCCTTGGCAGATTATCACCACCAATCTCATAGGCGCACTACCGGAGTCCAAGGGCTACACCGCCGTTCAGGTCTTTGTTGACCGATTTAGCAAAATGGCCCATTTTGTCCCCACTTTCGCTACTCTCGACTCTGCTGGTTACGCATGTCAACTCCGAGACAATGTAATATGACTCCACAGAATCCCTGAAAAGATCATCTCCGATTGAGGTCCTCAATTTATGTCTCGATTTACAAAAGATTTTTACGATTTAATGGGGATAACACTAGGCCTCTCTACAGGCTATCACCCTCAAACAGACGGGCAGTCCGAACGGATCAACCAGGATCTAGAGCACTACCTCCGCGTTTTTGTAAATCATCAACAAAATGATTGGGCAGACTGGCTTTCCATCGCTGAATTTACATACAACAACCATCTCCACACTGCAACGAATCAAACACCTTTCTTTTTGAACTATGGACTACACCCAAGAACGAATATCACCACCACACCGTCCCCTCAATCCGCTTCTGTGACAGAATTTGGCAAACAGATGAAAAAACTCCACAACATCACAAAATCTTCCCTTCTTTTAGCAAACAATAATCCGAGAAAATATGACAACTGTAAGAAATCCCCCTCCCGGGAATATCAAGTTGGCGATAAAGTCTGGTTAGAAGGACATAACATTACAACGGATAGACCAATGAAGAAATTAGACGATAAACGCTTCAGGCCTTTCAAAGTCACCCAAAAGGTCGGACCCTCCGCCTATCAACTCGACATCCCTAAAAGCTGGAAGTCCATTCATCCCGTATTCAATGAAGCCATCCTCTCACCATACCACGCTCCTGAATTCCTCAATCAACCAATTTCCTCATGACCACCACCTGAGATCGTGGAAGGAATAGATGAATACGAAGTAGAGAGTATAATCGCTTCCAGACCAACCAAACTGAAAGGTAGTAAACTCGACTACCTAATTCACTGGCATGGTTATCCAGTCTCCGAACGTACTTGGGAACCCGACACCAATCTTACACATGTCTCTAATTTACTCGCCGCTTTCCACAAAACGAATCCCGCCGCCCCTCGTATCATTACCGCTTCTCTTCATTTCTGTCCTTACAAAAATTACACCGCCACTTCCAAATCTCCGATGCTTTTTGATTGGATTACCAACAAGTTCCAGAGTGCCGCATCCGGACTCATGAGGACACGAGTCTTATAAAAAGGGGAGCTAATGTGAGGAATCAATTTTTCTTATCGCATTCCCGTCATGTTGTGGTTAGCAGACTCGATCCCTGTCACTCCTCTTGCCCTTGGACTAGAGATTACAGCAGGTGTGTTATTGCTTTTATCTTTTTTCTTCTTATTCTCTATTCACACTCACGTCCTATCGTACCTACAACAAAGGAGACTTGTTGTAGACCCTCGAGAAGATATCCAAATGACATAGCAACAATCCAGTGCTATGTCTGGGAATACTTCGGAGGAATATTGATAAGCAAAGAAGGTTGTGAGTCAGTGCCTTCTCATGGGCTTACTGATACAGCCAATCGCACATCCCTTACCAATACATTTTCTCATACAATTAGTAAATACGATAGATCGGTGACCATCGCCGTTCACTATATAAAGAAGTACATACTCGATGTACTATTCTCTAGTTCAATATTAGTTTGGATTTGTGCTTATACCGATACTCTTCATCCTCATACCCTGATTCATTGCCTTCCAACAAGGACTTGACCAGGCATTGTGTTTTGTTATATAGCTTTGTATTTGTTGCCTGACAATAAACAAATATCATAATTTGTCGCATATGAGGTTGTTGGAAATATTTCAGAAATGTTCTCCTACATACTTGGCAGCTGTATTTGATGAGATTGATGAATATGTTTGGTAAGAGCTTACTACAAATTCATTATCATTCAAACCTTTTTTTTAACCTCAAGTATTTTTGTAGGAATGGTTGTATAACAGTGGGGCAATCTGATGTATCTGAGTTTATGTTTGATTTTGATGCTTTAGAGGAAGCAGCAAAAGCATCCAAATTATAATTACAGATATTACAATAGTGCCGCAGTGTTTTAAATATTTAGAATAAATATAATCTGCTTTATTAGTGCTTTTTTTGGATATAATTGAGTATGGATCAATAGAATTGCATTTAGAGTAAACTATAGTGAAAAAGTGCAAGGTCATTTTGTAACAACCAAGAGTTAGTTACTCTGGCATACACAGGATCACACTATAAAGGTAGTGAATGGGGAGTGGTTACCCCTTAGGCTGCAGAGAGTTTGTTGGTTAACAACAGGAGGACTCGCTGAGTCCTTCCCCATGTATTGCTCCTGTATATATACTGAATACATGTTTGTTGTACATATGTACTGTGCAGTTGCTAGAGGCAGTGGCTGCTGATGTCATGGGGCCTAGCCCGTGTGACCAGCTCCACTGCGTGAGATACTTGTATCTAAAATAAGAATAAAGGCCGCACCGCGCAAGAAAGGTGGAGTTTGAACTACAAAGGGAAGTGCCACATGGCACAGTGTGAAAACTACAGTACAAGGTTAAAGCGGAGAATGAATTTTAAAGGAAAGGTCAGAAAATGAAAAGTAAAGTAAATGGTCACATGACTGGTCATGTGACTTGGAAAATAAAAGTAAAAGTACAAAAGTGAAGCGTAAGTAGGTGCTGGTATGTTTAATTGTAACACATTTTTGTTTTAATGACTGTGCTATAAACCACTTTTGATGATATATTAATACTCTAAACTATGTAAATATCAAATATCAATAAAGATAATATAGCAATACTCTAAACTGTATAAAATCAATAAAGGATGATCTTTATTGATCTTTATGCAGTTTAGAGTAAGGGACTGTGCAAGAATCACACTTATGGATATAAGGGATATTTTTGCTATTATAGCATATAAATGCAATAAATTGTATTTATATCTAAATCATGTTTTCCTGATGTGACAACATTCTTGGTTCATGTAAAATTGTTTGACTACATTTCTGAACTTGGCTATCAAGCAAACCATGTGGCGGCAGTGGGAAGTTCCACTTTGTTTGGCATTGTTCTTCTGAGCAAAAGTATTTGCAGCTATTGGGGAATCAAACTTGTACTTCTTGTTGTTTCATAGGGTTCATTGTGAGGCACTTTGCCATTTTGTTATTGTGGCACATGTGCAATAATCAGTTAGGATAATATGCAATACATTGTTGACAGAGGTTCTTGTTTGAACTCTTCAAACTGTGCTTATACAATGCTTTCCTCACTTGTGCTACTTGTTGTAGTTGTAGATGTACCTGACTTGCTCTTCTCATTGTCTGGCCCAACCTCGAACTCATCTGACACAACCCCAAAGACCTCTTTTGCCTTGCCATCTCTCTTGTTCAAGGTATGAAGGTGTTCCACCAACTTATCAATTATTCCCCTCAACACACTTATTTTTCACTTTCCCAGTAACATTGCAGGTGTACAAATTATCAATAGTGATTCCAAAAGCTCGTAAAGTGTTGTAGAGGAAGTACTGGATGCGAGGGGTGAGATATCCATCTTTCAGACTCTCCAACTTGTTACCGCTAATGTCTCTGGCATAGATCAATTTCCACAAGTAAAGGTCAAACAATGAAGCGCCTTTGGGACACCCACAACATCAGGAAAATATGATCTGGCTATAAATGCCATAAATTGCAAAAAATATGCTATTATAGCAAAATTATCACTCAGATCTGTTCAGATCTGTGAGTGCAAACCTTACAAAGTCCCTTGCTATATAGCATATAAAAATTGCCTATAGCATAAAAAGTCAAATATATCAAAGTCACCCCAGCTGTATACAACCTTGCAATGGTTTGATATAAATGACTTTAATACCTTTAAACACCTTTTAAAGTTAACTGGATCAATCCAGAGCATATCATCTTACGATACACAATTTTCGGACCTTTAATTTTCATTCTCCTATTTAACCTTTTACTGTAGTTTTCACACACTGTGCCATGCGGTGTCATGCACCAAAGTTGATTGGTAGCATGGATAGGTGTCAATAACAAAGCGAATATTCAAAAAGACTCGCCTTTGCGCCACACAGGCACAGTGCCACGTGGAATAGTAATTAATATTGCCTGTTTCGAACTTGTGGCTGATCAGCACCACCTCTATCAGGCAATCCAGTCACGCTCACCTTTGCTTTTCCATTCGGTACTTTCCGTGTTTTGGCATTTCGGCAAACTTTCGCGTCGCCACTGGCTACACATTGCATTGCGCCCTCCCTTTTGTCGTTTCCCTTACTCCCCTTCCTTTGCCTAGCCCCACTATGGGCCCCTTCCTCTCCTTTTTATTCTCACCTGACGGTCATTTCTGGATCCCCATTCTAATCCACTTTTTCGTCACCTCCACCCTCCTCCTCGTCATCTTATTTGCACCCCCACCATTTCTGATGTCACCACTTCCTATTCCTATCCGCTTCCGTCGCCGATCCGTTGATCACCACGTGCCACTGCTGATATCAGCAAAGCCTCGGCGGCCGGTTCAAATAGGGCAACAGGTCCATCTTCATGACGTTGATCTGCCATCATATACTATCAAAACATCGGTCGCTCGTCTTGCCTGGTTGGAGCGTGGGTGGGTAGTTTTTGAGCTGGAGAAGGTTCATCCCCTTGCGTTGCCCATGTTCATCGCTGTCCCATTCACTTGGGTACACTTATCTTTTGTCCATCGTCTTCGCTACAGCTACACCTACCACACGCTGCCTGGGACTCACTTGTTCCAAATTGG